ATTTCACGCAATGTTTTCCCTTTATGGTTTTGATGAATAATAATTTCTTGAATTTTTGGATCAGTAGGGTTTCCACGTTCTATTATTATTTATTTTACTTGTAATAAAACTGACGATTGTCTTTATTTATACTTAAATGACACGTGTCAATTATTGTTGACAACGCAATACCTACTCGTATGTTTGATTTCAAATCCTTCTTTGTGCCAGGCTGATAAAATTTAAGAAACATGAGGAAAAGCAAACATTTTTTTTCCAATACTTAGTTGTCAGCAGTTTTTGATTATCAAACAATTAATTAAATAGTACTCAATATAAAATATATAATTAAACCGCAAAAATAATTCCATCCATCATAAAAATGTTGATAATTTCATATTTACAATTAGAAAAAAATTAACAAAAGAATTTCAGTAAATGGGCAGTATATTTGCAAAATAACTGCTTGTTCTAACATATACTTGTTACGGCTCGTGTGTGCGCTATCCATTCAAAATTGCAAAGTATGTTAAGGATAGAAAGTGAATGCATTCATAAAGGCAATTAGCAAGAATGGCGTGGCCAAGACAGCGTATGTATTCAAGGAAGACGATCTGCTTCTATCTATATCTATCTCCACAGATGCTCCGGAAACTACATATTTATTTTTGAAGTTGGTAGCCATTTGCAATATCTTTGGCTTTTGTAGAAGATGTGAATTATGCGATTTACGCGTATATGACATCAAGAAAGAAGGAAGTACAAGTATTTAATACTACGCCCGAAAAATGTAAATACAGATCGAGTTTTCTTACGGTATGATAAAGAGAAGTGCACTAATCAAGTAGTTGGTATTAGTAAATTTAGATGATGTGTCCTGCAAATTGCGCGTTATCTAAAATTGGACGATCCTGAAAAATACACGGGCCATGTGTTTCGACGTACGTCCGCTACAATTATGGCGAACAGTGGCATGACAATAGATCAAATAGAATGAAAAGTAGGATGGAAATCGGCAGCTGTGGCGACTGGTTACGTTGAAGAGAGTATTACCAATAAGAAGGTTTCAAACATTATTGGGAGTGCCAATAATGAAAGTATAACCTAATTGGCTTCCGAGAATGTCGGTATTGTTAATTTGAACAGCATTTCCTTTAATTTAAAAAACGGAAATATAAATAAATATTTCAAACAATACCAACTATACTTTTTCATTCATTTAAAAGATTAAGATTTTTAAATATTTGAATAAAGCTTTTGAAATATTTGTTAGTAATATTTTATTCATATTTGATTTATTTGGCGTTACAAGCAATGTATTCCCATGGTAACTTCAAAACACGCGCGTTTTTGAAAGTTGAATTTAAACTTTAAATAAGCCAAATGGTGTACCAATAAAAAACTGTGTAAGAATAATAACTGTGTACTTATATATTAATTGTATAATTGTATAAGGGTGTAGGGTTGTGTTATAGAGGTAGTACCTTTATTGGAACGACCACATCGAGCGTCATAGACGGAAGATGGTTCTAGATAACTGGTCCTCATAAGACACCTAACTCTCACTTATGGCTCCACGTGCCACACCTCGGGCAACTGCATTGGTCTAAACTAAGTGAGGGTAGCCAGATATAGCGAAAATTTCACCAAGTGATTACCGAGTGATATCCTGATGAAGGGCAGCAGCGATCATCAGTACTAGCTCAAGGCGCAAAGGAAATGATCTTGGATCGGCTTGAAACTGGACTACCACAAGCATGAATGGAGCAGTTTAAATGGTTGTGGTACTGCGATGGGGAAGGCAACGGAAAACCACCCCATAAGAATTTCCTAGAATAGTTATCATGGCAATACACTACGATAACAAAAACATTACTGATCATGGTGATCGGATCATAAGACCCGACAGGGGAGGATGCACACATACAAATAGTAGGGCCTCCCTGGTCGTCAGCCAGCGAAATCCCTACAACCTAAAAAAGGAAGCAAGTCCTCAACACCTAAGGATTGGAACTTGGAATGTACGAAGTATGTACGAGAGCGGCAAAACTCATAACATTGTAAAAGAGATGAAAAAATTAAAAATTGATATATTGGGAATTAGTGAAACACACTGGAAAAACTCTGGACAATGCGATATACTTGGATATAAAATTTACCATGTTGGAAACAACACAACATATCACAGAAACGGCACCGCAATAATAGTTGCCCCACATATTAATTCGGCAGTAAAATCTTTCACTCCCCATTTAGATAGAATGATGCTTTTACAAATTCGAGCGACACCGGTGGATATTAACATATTACAGGTATACGCGCCAACGGCAGATAAAGATACGGCAACCAGCGAAGAATTCTACGAACAACTGGGAAGCCTGATGAAAATGACAAAAAAACATGAAGTAACAATAGTGATGGAAAATTTTAATGCAAAGGTTGGCAGAGGCAAGGTGAAAGAGATCGTGGGAAACATCGGCCTAGAGGAGAGAAGCGATAGAGGTGATAGACTTATATGCTTCTGCCAGGAATATAATCTGCTGTTAAGTAATACACTCTTCAAGCTCCCCAAACGCCGACTTTACACATGGAAATCTCCCGCTGACTCACCTGACAACATTATAGGGAATCAGATAGATTATATAGCAGTACCAACAAGATATAAAAACATGATAAAATCTTCACAAACGTACCCAGGTGTCGATGTTCCTACGGACCACAATCTGTTGATATGCAGAATGGTCATGAGAGTAAAACGGCTCGAGTAAAGATCTAATTTAAACACAATCGATATTAAGAAACTCACTAACCCAGAAACCGAAATAAAAGTACGAGAACAACTAGGAAAGAAAATAAACGACATTAACGAGAACACGTCGGACATAATAGAGAGATGGGATAAATCGAGAAAGCAATCCAAACAACATGCGGGACTCTATTAAAGCGTGACAGACGGAAGAAGAAAGAATGGATGTCTGATGAGATAATGGATATGATGGATGAAAGACGTGAATTCAAGAATAAAAATGCAGAAAAATACCAGCAGATCCACAAAATCATAAGAGCGAAAATTCGAAAATCCAAAGAAAAATGGTTTTTTAACAAATGCATTAAATAGAACAATACGAACGAAAATACGACAGTTACAATATGCACAAACAAATCAAATCAATGACAAAGAAGAGGAAATTCGATAAGTCACCCAACAGCATAAAAGATAGCGATGGAAATCTTATCTCGGAGCCATCAACGATCTTAGAAACATGGAAATCATACATAGGAAAATTATTTGCATCTGACAGGACTGATGATCACCTATATGGAGAAGCAGATACAGGACCTTCAATCCTTAAATCAAAGATAGAAGATGCCATTACAGCACTAAAAAACAATAAGTCAGCAGGTCCGAACAATGTACCCTGCGAAATATTAGATCCTATGTAAATCAGACAAACAGTTCCTTCATAATCTAGTTGTACTTTTTAACAACATATATAATAGCGGTAAAATCCCGGAGAACTGGCTGCAGTCAACATTTATTACAATCCCGAAGAAACCAAATGACCAGATCTGTGATGACTACCGGCTTATAAGTTTGATTAATCATGTCACTAAAGCGTTCACTAAGATCATTCATAGAAGAATATAAAATGTGAGTCAAATATTGATAGATCGCAGTTTGGTTTTCGGAAAGCACTTGGAACTAGAGAAGCAATTTTCGCTCTACAGGTGCTTATACAGCGGTGTAGAGACGTTGATAAGGATGTGTATTTGAACTTTGTAGATTTTAGAAAAGCATTTGACAATGTCAATCATGAACAATTGATAGATATTCTGCGAAATACAGGTATTGACGACAAAGACATTCGAATTGTGGTAAACCTATACTGGGGTCAAACAGCAAGAGCAAAAATTGGCAACGAACTCACTGAAAGTGTGCAGATCAAAAGAGGTGTCCGTCAAGGGTGTATATTATCCCCACTCCCATTTAATATGTATTCCGAGGAAATATTTAACAAATGTATGGAAAATGCAAACGAGGGCATAAAAATAAACAACGAGTTAACGAACAATATAATATATGCCGACGACACGGTGATCCTTGCCAGTACCATAAACGAATTACAACTAGTAATGGAAAGAGTTTATTCAGTTAGTAAGGAATACGGCCTGAGCCTTAACTTCAAGAAGACAAAGTGGATGCTGATAAGCAAAAAGCAACAACCTGCTAGACAATTACGAATAAGTAATATACTAATTGACCATAGAATCTTATGTGTACCTTGACACCAACGTAAATGCAAAATGGGAACATTCCACAGAAATTAAGGCGAGAATAGAACGAGCTAAAGCAGCATTTAGAAATATGAAAAAGCTCCTCATAAGCAAGGATTTGTCTCTTCCCCTAAAACTACGTCTAGTTAAATGCTACATTTTTCCTATCTTACTGTATGGTGTGGAGGCCTGGACGATGACGGAGACGCTCACGAGAAAACTAGAAGCATTCGAAATGTGAAAGGAGAAAGAAATCGTGAATACAATTAAACAAAGAAAACGTTCACAACGTACAGGGCACTTGAAGAAGAAGAATTGTATACGAGATGTAATAATAGTTTAAATAAATAATTTAATATTTTTATTAACTGAATGACATTTATGATTTCCAAATTTTGGCAATCGTTACGAATTGAATCTTTTAATTTTTTACTTCTTATTTAATGTTTTTTGTTTATTAGTTATTTTTCATGCAGTTTTTAATTTAAATATGCTTAGAATAAATATATGATAACTGGCAACGCTTGCCTCAACATTTTACTACAGAGAAAAAAGCATTACAACGCCAGTATTGAATCTTCCCTTAAAAAAAAACATAAATGCTTACATTCTAGAACTATGTCACTGAATTCAGATAGATATAAACAAAGATAAAATAATATGCTATCAACTTAATTAAAAAATGGCAAAAATTAAACACTTCCTTAAAGACAAAATTATAATCTGTAACAGTTTTGAATACTTACTTATGAAGTTGATCTGCAATCATAACCACCCGTTTGAAGTAGGGGAAATCTTTGGATTCAATTGCAGTATTTACAGTGTCCTCGATTTCAGGGATAACTTTCTGTAGTATACCAAAAATATTAAAAACCTTATAGCGGTCGACTATTATCATGCATTTAATTTGTGTGACTTTAATGCAGTGTTCAAGTTCTCTTGGCTGAAGTGCAGGATTCAAATTGACCTAGAAAATATACTTTTTATTTATATTTTTCTGAATTTGGTAATAAATATAATATGATATGCAATAATATAATGCAGGTTCTAATCCTACTGTTAGAGTTAGTTGGTGGTGGTTTTGGCGTCGATGTCGCGGATTAACTAAGTTGGACAATGTCACTAATGAAGACAGGAGAGCGAGGTCTAAGGGTCAAATAGTTTACCATTGAAGCCAAAAGAGTAAAGTGCTTTGCTTTCTTTGCTGTCTAGCTTATTGAGGGAGAACGAGGAATATATAGAAAAAAGCAGTAAAAGATGTCATGAGAACCAGAAACCTCCAAAATGATGATTAAAAAAAAAGAAAAATAGATAACACAGTGGTTGTAAACCAGCGCGAACCTTCATACATGTATGTATTTTTAAAATTTGAATAATATTTTTAAAATAATATATAATCTATATTATAAATATTATTTATATATAATATACAGTAGAACCCCGATTATCCGTGCGCGCTTTATCCGGGCGGTGGATTCTCCGTGCCGCATAATAAATTGATCATCCGTGCGCGGATTATCCGTGGCTAACGGCCAGAGGTTGGTGGCGTCCATGAACGCTGAATAATGCATCGTGTAAACATTCATTTCGGGGAATCCCCAAGTTTTCTCATATTTTCGTCAACTACTGACCGGTTCGGCGGTTCGTTAGTTGAACGTAAACAGGCGCACAAAATGCAGCGTACGGGTGCTAATGAAAAGCGTAAACGCAATGTTTTAACTATTTTGAAACAATTTGAAAATAAAATAAGTGTTCCTATGTTGGCTAAAACATATAATATTGGGAAACAAACAGTTCGTGACATTGTGAACAAAAAATCCGAATTACAGAGCTTTGTAGCAAAAGCGGACAGTGCAAAAGCAATTTCTGACAGGAAATCTCTAAAGGGTCTACGTTTCGAGAACTTGATGATGCTATGACCAAGTGGTTCTTGCAGAAAAGTTCAGTGGGGGTTCCAATATCAGGACCTATGTGTGCTAGGCAAGCTGAAAAGTTTCACGAGCAGTTGAAAATTAAAGGCACGTTTTAAAAAACGTCATGGAATACGAGAATTAGTTGTTCAAGGGGAGAAATTAAGTGCTGATGATGTAGCTATGGTAGAATTTTGCTACGATTTTGAAAATCTCATAACGGAGCATGACCTAAAACCTGAGCAAGTGTATAATGCAGACGAAACTGGCTTTATTGGAAAGCAATGCCGAGAAGATATCTATCAAATATCAGCCTTCACAGCGCCAATATTCCAACAGACTGGAACAACGCTACTATGATTCTATTACACAAAGCAGGAGATAAAGCAAATTTAGAGAATTACAGACCGATTAGCCTCCTCAGCCATATATATATATATATATATATATATATATATATATATATATATATATATATATATATATATATATAAGAGTAAGAAAAAAGAAGTACTTGTGACTCGTTTGGAAAAAATATAAAATTGTTTTTGATGGGTTGGAGTCAATAAAAGGGGCTATTTGTTGACTATTTTTTACTCGAGCTTTCAAGTGTGATTACAATTTTTATCAAGAGCTTCTAAAAAATATAAAGTTGTTTACGCGAATACTAGTTAAGAGAATGGAAAGAAAATTAGAGATTCATCAACCAAGGAAACAGGCAGGACTCCGAAAAAGTTACGGAACAAATGACCATCTATAAAGTATAAAAACCCTAATAGAGAAAGCAGTGGAATACAATAAACCTCTAGTTCTAATATTTATCGATTTTCACAAAGCCTTTGACACAGTTGAGCTACGCAAAATATTACAGGCGCTTAAAGAATGCAGGCTAGATTATAGATATACTAAATTATTATACAAAATATACCTGCAGGCAACAACCACTGTCAAATTACATACTAACAGTAATCGCATAAAAATATAACGGGGGGTTAGACAAGGAGACCCAATGTCACCTAGAACATGCTTTGAAGAATTTAAATTGGATGACAAAGGGAATAAAAATAGATGGAGAATATCTAAACAACTTACGTTTCGCCGATGATATATTTATAATAGCTGAAGATCTAGGTATGGCAAGAGAGATGGTACAGGAACCCTTTGTGGCTACAGAAAATGTAGGTTTAAATATAAATACCTCGAAAACAATAATCATGACCAATTTGGTACTCAACCAGAACATCAGTATTGGTGGGAAAGAAATAGAACTCGTAGATAGATATAAATACCTTGGACATGAAATTATGATTGGCAGAGATAACCAGACTCATGAACTGAAGAGAATAGTCGGCCTTGGGTGGGCAGCATTTGGAAAACTGAGAGAAACTTTTAAAAGTGAGCTGCCCACATGCCTAAAGAGGAAGGTATTTGATCAGTGCGTCCTCCCAGTCTTGACGTACGGAGCAGAAACACTTACCTTAACAAAAGCAGCAGCTACCAAACTGAGAGTCACGCAGAGAAAAATGGAGCGGTCCATGTTAGGAATAATTCTCCGAGACAGAATAACAAACGAAGACATCAGGAGAAGAACCGGGGTGACTGACATCATCGAGAAGATAGCCAGACTAAAATGAAGATGGGCAGGACACATAGCCAGAATGACAGATGGGCGATGGACAAAGAGGTTATTGGAATGGAGGCCAAGGGAAGACAAGAGAAGCGTCGGTCGACCACCTACAAGATGGACTGACGATTTAAGAAGAATCAATAAAAATTGGATAAGAGCGGCGCAAGATAGACGGGGTTGGAAACATCAGGAAGAGGCCTATGTTCAGCAGTGGCCTCCTTAGGCTGAAAGATGATGATGATGAATGCCGAGAAGAACCCTTGTTGCAGGCTCAGAAACGAGTGCACCAGGTTAGCTTGAATTCTTTTTACGTATAAAGTATTTTTTAAAAAATTTTTTTTAGGTTTCAAATCAAGCAAAGACCGTATAACAGTTTTATGCTGTGCTAATGCCTCAGGAACCCATAAGCTTAGGTTAGTCGTTATTGAAAAATCCAAACATCCGAGGGCTTTTAAAAATATAAAAACACTGCACGTTGATTATTATAATCAAAAGGAAGCTTGGATGGATCGTATAGTTTTTAAACAGTGGTTTTTCCAAAAATGTATACCTCAAGTTAGAGCTTATATACAAGAAAATAATCTTCCATCAAAGGCTGTACTATTACTGGACAATGCGCCATCGCATCCTGATGTAGAGCAACTAAAGTCAGCAGATGGGAACATATTCGTAGCATATTTTCCTCCGAATGTAACATGTATTACCCAGCAAATGGACCAAGGTGTTAACGAGGCCATGAAAAGGCTTTACAGAAAAGACAGTATTCTTCAACTGTTGGGAGAATGTGATACTGTGGGATTTTGGAAACGCCTAAATTTAAAAGAGGCTGTAGCTCGGGCTTGGAGTGAAGTGAAAACGGATCATATTAAAAAATCATTTTATAAAATTATGACCTTAGAAGATATGGAAGATGAAGACGGTAATCACGTTAATAAAGGTGAGCTATCGGTTGAAAACACAGCATTTATAGCCTCACAAATCAAAGGTTGAAGAAATGAACAATAACGAAATACAGGAATAGATAAAATGTGATCGCCAAGAAACAGGGTATCAGATTATGAATGACGATTATCTTACAGAAAGTTCTGACACAAGTAGTGATGATGAGAATTGTGCTTATAATGATTGCGCCATTAAGACAAGTAATCGGGAAGCAAGCGATGCGGTAAATGAACTTATTTAATATTTTGAAGAACAACCTGGAGCTGATGAAATTCATATACTTCAGCTTAAAAACATAAAGGAAATTAAGTGTGGAAGTTACGAAGCTCAAAAACAAACCAAAATTAATCATTTTTTCAACTGATTTTTTTTTAAATATGTAATGTTTATTCATAGCATATACAGTATGTTGAAATAATAATATGTATGTACTTTTATTTTTTGTACATGTATGTTGTATGTATCACGTTTCTGCTCTTCGTTTGACACATGTATTTGTCTAAATAAATTATTAAAAAAATAAATTGAGGTCTTTGGATTATCCGTGTTTTCGATTATCCGGCGAAGGCTCGGTCCGGGCTGGCCCGGATAATCGAGGTTCCGCTGTATAAAAAATATTACTTATATTATAAACAAATTATAATATATTAAAATAATTCAATAAATTAATATATTAACGCCACCTGCTAACGTATTGTCAAAGCATGCGTTGTTTATTTCTAACATACCTGTCAAATTTAGACGAAATAATAAATTAATCTATATTAATAAAAAATGAATCGCTGAAATGTTTTTACTAACATAAATTTAGAAATTTAGAACGACTGCACGAAATTAGATCATTTTTTTGTTGTTGTGTTGGTTATTATCAGTAAAAGGTTTCTGTACAAGATAATTAAAAAAAAAATGCACGAAAGGTATAAAAATAGATTTTCTGTAATTTTAAATCAAAATGTAACTAATAGATGGCGCCATACTATGATTAACTAAAGAAGCTATGATTAACAAAAAAAAATGTCAGAATTGATAGATTGTCATCACATCACATACATATCTCTATATCTGGCATTAATTGACTGGCCAGTTGGTTGTCAAAACCAGTGCCAATAAAACACACACACACACACACACACACACATATCTGGCATTGAGGCTATTACGTTCATAACGTAGTTAATAAGACTCACATTTTTACATACATTTAAAATTAGGAGACTACATTGATAATAGGTTGCCAGTCGAAAAGTTGCTGCAAACTTTATTTCGTTCATTCATGACCTATAGGTATGTTTTTTTATATCAAATTAAAGCTAATTTTTTGTTAATACAATGATATAATGTCATAGAAGGTTGAATGCTCGAATTAATGAATTTTAATAAAACAAAAGGCATATATCGAGCACACTATTGAATCTGGATTCTCTCTCCTCATGTCAACCAGTATGTAGCTTCGTAGTTTTTTTTTTTAAAAATTTTAAACTGTTTGTT